ACCCCCCCCCCCCCCCCCCCCCCAATTTGCACATGCTCTTTCAGAATATGGGGTCAAATTTAACCCATGACCTTCACATGACCTTGTAAGAGCATTTCCACACCTATTTTGCAGGGGAATCCTCCGCCACTGCCTTTAGCCAGTTGCAGTCTAGTTATTATTATTATTATTATTATGTCAGAGTCTACTCCAGTAATAAAAGAGAAAAACAATTGGTGGTTATAAATCTCAACTATTCTTTATTTGTCTTCGTTCTCCAATTCAGTATGCTATATTGTTCAAGCTGTGAGGAAGTTACTGAAGGTTTTAAATTGGCCAAAACTCCAGCAAAGTCTTGCTGAGTAATTACTTCTACATCCAGCCCTCTTTCACTTAATGCATGAAGACTTGCCTGAAACATAATGGGAAATATTCATGTCAGTGAGGATAAATGCTAATACATATGATATTACAGTATACGTATATAGGATAAATGTGTATATAAAAAGAAGGAACCCAGTGAATCACAAGCAACTGAAATTCAATTGTTGAAAGTATAAAAACCTGTACATATATGAAGCTTAGACAAGCCAGCTAAAGCTGACATATGGACAGAGAATCTTTAACAGTGTAAATATGGAGGAGTGACAAAATAACACTGCAAATGAAAATTTTGTACAAATCAAGAAATATTAAAACAATAAAAAAGCAAATGAGGCTGATATTTCAGCACTAAGAATCTTTCCTATAAATTTGAGATTAACAACTTGGTTTTTATATTATGATTTTCAGGACTGCATTCTCATCGTACTAGCTGGATTGATATAGCTCTGCAAGGCTTCTTGCTTAAGTGCTTCAGTGTAATCAGCTTAATTGTCCGGCACGCCCCCTTGAGAAACTGGGGGCTAATTGACTTTCGTTAATTACTCCCTAGCAGCTTGAGTAGACGTGCCAGACATTTAAGCTGCTCACACTGAATGCAGTTTAGTGAGAATCCCAGCAGAGTTAGATCAATCCCGCTAGCATGACTGGTTTATAGGAACACTGCCTATGGCTGCGTTCAGAACAGAAGTTATTAACAGGATTGAACTAGCTCATTGGGGATTATCGCTAAGGCACAGTCAATGTAATTAGCTTTATTATCTGGCACGCCCCTCACAAAGCAACATAAACAATATCACGGACCACAATATCCTGACTCACCCAAGTGCTTGAAGTTATGAGAGGTGTGACAGATGATTAAGCTCATATTGATTGTACCTTAGCAATAATTCCTGCTGAGACGGATCGAACCAGTTAGTACAATAACTACTTTGCTGAACAAAGCCTATGATGGCATTAAACAATTTTGTCACTTTGGATGCTATATAACATAATCATCCACAGCATAATCACACAAAGTCGAATTATGTACTTCTGTTACTGTTGACATTTTAAAAATAAGTCAGACCTGAAAAATGAAAAAATTCACAAATAACTTCAGAAATGCAAGAAAAACAAGAAGTGTAATCCAGTCAGACTGATTTTCCAGCTAAAACTGTATTCTAGTCCTACCAGTCATTTATGTAAGTCTAAGAATAATGTGTAGCATATTTTTTCTTTTTATGGTTTAATACCAGTAAAGAGTGCATCCGGGCAACAACAGCTGCAGGTGATGGCTGTATGTCCAGACACAGTGTCTGTCCATAAAAAGTATATTTAACTACATCTTCTGCTTAATATTTATAAAAGCATGAAAATTACAAGTAAAAATGCAAAAGGAATGTGTGTGTGAATGAAATTTAAAATACCTCTCTGCACAAATTCTCTAGATCAGCCCCTGTGAACCCAGCAGTTTGCTCAGCCAGCCATCGCACATCTACATCAGTTTTTGGCATGTGTCGAGAATGAATTCTGATTATTTCTTCTCTTGCCTGTTTTATTAAATATATATATATATATATCCTCCACTTATATATATATATATATATATATATATATATATATATATATATATATATATATATATATATATATATATAATGACTTCATACACAAAAATAAATTGCTACATTTCAGATCATTATAAACTACAAATAACTCACCGAAAAAATAATTATCAAATTATTTCTATCCTTTCTGTTCACTTAATCTTTACTGTTAAGCTAATTAAATAAATCTCATGTCATATGCCCTCACTTAACCCAGATAACTAAATTCTAAATGACATATAAAAATAATATTAAGAGGACATCTTACTTCAAGTCCTGGTGGAGGCACATAAATGATCCTATCAAAACGGCCTGGACGTAAGAGGGCCTCATCCAGCATGTCAGGTCTGTTTGTGGCAGCCACAACTAACACATGGCTGTTATCAACCTCACTAAATTCAGCCTGGAATGAAATGATTGAAGAAACAATTCTGTGATGCAAAATTTGCATGTGCAAGATTAGTTATATATCTTAATATGAATTTCATTTTGCAAATTTGCACTATACTTAGGATTAAACTGGTTCATGGTTATTAATGGCCTTGGGTTACATCATCTCCATTGCTCAGTAACACAAAAAACCACTTGCTGTGAAAACAGTTCAAACTTGGTTATTCTGCAGACCAAACTGATCATGCCACATGTGAGATCTAAGAATAGTTGTCATAATCTTATAAATGCTGTACACAAATAACATTATTTAACCTTACTTGTGACCAGGAAGGGACCCCCTCCAACAGCCTTTCCTTTCCCCCAGATCTGGTGGTCTTTTCCTCCACTTTGATACCAACACCATCCATTTCATTCAGCAGCACAGATAACACTCTTTCCTGAACACTGCGGTTAGTGCTGGACTCTGATCGTTTGCCTATTATTGAATCAATCTCATCCAGAAACAAGATTGATGGGGCTCCCATTCTTGCTCTGCTGAATGCCTTGTAGAAAAAAAATATAATATATTTCTAAAAAATATATAATATATTTCTATGTCCTCTTATATATAGACTTTTATGTCAATTCTTTTAGAGAAACTTAACGTCAACTGAGAGCTCTTAATTAGATAACGATATATTACAAATGAACAAAATGGAGAGAATTTTTATACCGAAACCAATTACAGTAATTGCAAAAAAAAAAAAAAATAGAAATCAAAGTCAAATAAAATAGTAGCATTAAATAATAAAATAAAAAAAAACCTCTGATAAGGCCTTTTCTGAATCTCCCACAAATGGTGAATACAGCTGAGCACCACTAACTGACAGAAAAGTGGCGCCACAGGCAGTTGCTGCAGCTTTCACCAGCATAGTCTTGGAGCAACCTGGGGGCCCATACAACAGGACACCTTTTGGTAATGGAAGACCAAGCCGAGAAAATGCCTCAGGATGCTGGAGTGGCCATTCAACAGACTGAAAAAATGTTAGTAAAATATTTTGACACTGTACATTTATTCAACTTTACATGGGATGGTACTTTGATAAATAAAACAAAATATGAGTGGCTTCCAATTATTATTCTTATTGCTAAAAAAATAGAATAAAATTAATAAATAATTGCCAATCTTGAAATAAGATGAACTGTTTATGGCTCTCTTAATAATTAATGTTGAATAATTATTTAAAGCATTTATCACTTGTCCAAAAAGATTTGTACCTGCTTTAACTGCAATTTAACAGTCTGCAAACCACCTATTTGCTCCCAAAGTACTGGCTTGCCGTCAACTAATATGTCTGAACCTTTCTGTGTGCTTGGGGTGATGTTATGGATAGATGTAGTAAAATCCAACATTGTAACAGGTTCAGGATTGATCTAAAAAGTTGCAGCATATACATGTCCATACATAATCAAAAGGCCACATGTTTAGTTAAGATGAAGTTTTAATATTTAATGACTGTAAGTATTTATTTTCTCTTTAAGAACATTTAAAATAAATTAGAATGATATTTTAGTGTATATTAGTTAACTTGCATATTTACCCTTTCAACTTTTAGTAAACATTTACACCTGGCCATTGAACTGTATGCAGCTTCGTTACAAATGCAAGCCAGGTCAGCACCCACATAGCCCTTTGTCATATCTGCTAACCTATCCAAGTTGACACATTCACCAAGCAATAGACTCTTGGTGTGAACTGACAGAATTTGTCTGCGTTGGCTCTCTGATGGAATCCCAATGAAAAACTGAAGAAATGAAAGTTCATATCTTACAATAGCATTGATGGCTTTAACTTGCAGTTATACAAAAGACGATATAAATCTGTCAAACAACTAGAAATTGTTATTATTAACCTGTGACTCAGGCAGCACAGATTTCCTCGCTGAGATTTCAAGCTTCTACAGAAGATTTCCATAAAATTTCCTCGATTTCTCCAGACTTCGTATTGGGCCAGTGAGCTCTGGTCCATCAATGTGTAGTGCAAATACACAATATTCATTGCAAATGGCCCTACCAGAGAGAAGTTTGTCCAGTTCCTGGATGACCAGACAGTAGAACCCCACTTTCTACTTGACAAGTTGTTACTGATACTAAAATACTGGTTGGGCAATAAGAAAAAAAATAATAAACATATAACATACACAAAATGAACAAAAATAAATAAGAAAAGCTCTTTTTGTTTAAAAAAAATGGAGTTTTTTACCTAACATGTAAAAATTTGAAATGTTGACTTACCTCCTGGTCAAACCTTCCGGATCTTCGCAGAGATGGGTCTACAGCAGAAGCTCTATTAGTGGCAGCAAGCACCACCAACCTCTCTCTTGATTGCAAACCATCCATCAGTGTCAGCAATTGACCCAACATTCTTCCGTCTTGCTGACCAGATTTGCTCTGCCTTGGACACAAGGAGTCAATTTCATCAATGAATAACACAGTAGGACCTTCTTTGCTAAGATTGATAGCTTCTTTAAAAGATTTACGTAAATTTTCCTCACTTTCTCCAGGTCTTGGGCCAGTGAGCTCCGGTCCATTGATGTGAAGTAGAACAACAGCATATTCACTGCAAATGGCTCTCACAAGAGAAGTTTTACCTGTCCCTGGAGGACCAGACAGTAGAACCCCTTTTGGTAGTTCCAGTCTGACATTTTCTACTTGTTGCTGATACTGAAATGGTAAGCTGATTATTTCCCTTAACTTTTTAGCTTCTTGTTCCAGGCCTCCAATAGAAGACATGTCTGATGTTCTTTTTTGGCAATAATCATATCGTCTTTTGCTGATCACTTTTTTAATTTCAATATCTGTGACTGTTAGCACTCTACCAACTTCTAAGTTATCTGGAAGAGCTGTAGCAATTTCAATGTATGATATTCCATAAAGCTTTCCCAATGTATGCTCTGTGAAGTCGACTTTGAAATTTGCAGCCACATACAAATTGTTGAGAAGACACCTACACTTGGATATAAGATATCCTTTTTTCATATTTGGATTTTCATTCAGTTTTAGGACAAAATCTAAATCAGTCATTACAACATTTAAATAAACAGCAGAAAATTGTTTGACATGCTTAAAAACTGTTATCTGATTGTTCTCCATATCATTTAATTTTTCAGCTTGAGCATCAGGTTGCACTGAAGTAACAAATCCATCTACTTGTAGAAATTTTTCATGGCAGTCCTCTCTGGGCCATGCTATGCTAAGGTGACACTGGTTCTTCCACCATATTTTTACACAGTTTCCCAGGGAAACTCCAAGCCTGGACATAAGCAAAGGTCCCAATCTACATCTTTGACTATGCATGTCAAACACATCAAGTGGGAGTACTATTAAATGATCCATTGATATTATCCAATTGATCTTTGGTTTTATTGCTATAGCTAAAAGAAATTGAAATATATATTAATTGTAAATCAATTGAACTTCTTGTAACTAACTGTAACATCTATTTGGTGTATGCATTAGCATATGAAATTAAGATACCCTTTTCCTCAAACTTTAAAGTCAATCTTTACAGTAACCTCTAATAAGAAAAACACCATTATACTCAGTATAACAACTGCTGTTATCATACTATGATATAGTTAAATAAAGCAAGATAATCAAGTTCCTCACCTAGTTTGACCTCCCCAACAGGCGATATTACGCGTTTCCTCCTTTAACCTCTAAGAGGACAGTTTTAACTAGGCTCAAATCAGGTTTAAACTGTCTGTGTGGAAAGAGCAGCACTTCAACTATCTGTAACTATTTAAAAAGTTTTTATTTATGATACATCCACATTTTAGATTTGCCTGTTGACTGTTTCTTCTCTTCACTCTGACAGACTTGATCACAACTGAATTATTGGGGTTCAGGTTCAGGTGCACAGGTAATTATCTCAGTTTTGATGATGACATGTTCACCCCCCCCCCCCCCCACCACCACCACCACCACCACCAGGGTGGGTTTGAGAATGTAATCATAAACACGGGACAGTTTGTGTGCTCCATCATCTATATTCATAGTGTGTTTCTTCTTTCTTATCCAGATGGATTCCAAAACCTTGCACTTGTTGTAATTACTTTCACTGGTTAGCACTTTAGCATTGTCCTATTTTGACACATGGTTGTTATCTAATGTATGATCTGTGAAGGCAAATTTGTGTAAAACTCCTGTCAACAGAGCATTTGGATCTGTTGTTAACTCCCTTACTTATATTTTCTTTTACATCTTTCTCGTGTTCCTCTAGTCTCATTTCCAGTCTCTCAATGTCTCTCAAACACATACTCTGTCCCACAGTTGAGCTCATACACTATTCCACACTCCTTGCTGCAGTCCTCTGTCTTTTTTTTCATCATTAAAACTTAGGCAACTACCTGTTCACCTTCACCTGAACAGGTAATTCAGTTGTGACCAAGTCTGTCAGAGTGAACAGACGAGAAAGTCAACAGGTAAATCTAATAAGTGAATCTATCATAAATGAAAACTTTCTATCAAAAAACTGAGATCCAACTAGTGGATCAGAGAGGTGATACTGCCTCCAGATATTGTACCACCAGCTAGAGTAAGCACATTCATATGGAAAACCAGAAAAAAAGGGACACCACCACCACCATCTTGTGCTTGACAAGCTCTAATAAAATGCAATCAAAAAGAGTTCTCAAAAAAAAAAAAAAAAATGCAAATAAACATAACTAAAAATGGTCCAATCAAGCAGATTTTCAAATTGACCCGTATTTTCCTAACATTGATCGCCCCTAGGATTTTCTAGACAATAGGCCTGTTGGTTTCCTTGAAATGTGTTATGTAGGGTTACATATATGCTGACAGAAGAAAAAACCTAGGGGCAACACTGGGCATATCTCTGTTAGTTTTAAAGATATATGGGGCAAGAAAATATGTAAAGTTCAGTTCATGGTGAAAATTAGGTCAAAGGTCAATTTCAGGGTCACAGTTACATTGCCAGTATATGACTTCCTATTCAAATTCAATAGTAACTATGTGCATATCTTTGCTAGTTTTGGAAATATAAAGATCAGAAAACGTGCAAAGTGCAGTTTATCATAAAAAGTAGGTCAAAGGTCAACTTCAAGGTCACAGTAAGATAACCAATATATGACTTCCTATTCAAGTTCAATACAACTATGGGCATATCTCTGCTAATTTTGGAGTAATTCACATTTTATTTTAACCATTGAACATTGTGACATTGTACTTTTTGATATAGTGCAACGCTTAAACCGTATCGAAAACAAAAAAATGGACACCACCTCCAGTATTGCGTGTCGTGCCCAGGCTAATGCACTGACTGAGACAAAAATACCAGGGGGTTCCAGTTGAGATGATATGACTTAAATCCAAAAGGTGGAGACACAGGTCCTTGCAGTCTAGGAGAAGAAGCGATAACGGTGACTTATATCCCACAACACCCTGCGGAGCCGGCGGAGCCGTACGAGACGGGTTGGGACTAAAAACATGAGTACCACCAGCGTACACGCTGGTGTTACTAATGAAACCATTTTCATACCTGTAACTAGTGAGCCCAACTAGTGAAATAAAAGAAATTAAAATAAAAATGAAGGAAACGGAAGCATGGGTACAGATACGGCGTACTTGACGTCATGTGTGAGGAAAATTAATGTAACACCTATATCTCAAGAAATATGTTATAAAATAAAATTAAAATAAAATAAAGAGTGATCTATGCAGGTAAGAAGAGATCTGTAAAGATCTCAGGTAAGTAGGTGTTTCTTTGACCCTGAGACCTGAACTTGAGATTGCCAGTTAACTATTGTTGTTCATAACCAATTTTTGCTGGCTGGTAGAGATAAAGATATATAATGAAAAAGTGTGACAGATGAGTTTTTGATGTCAGTGACAGGTAAGTCAGACTGTGGCTTAATCATTGTCCTTCTTAATATAAATTGATTTGATCATGTTTATTAAATTGCTCTTTCATTTAACAAGAATCTTTATACAAAGATAATTAAATGCAAATTGCCTTGGTTACTACTCTTCTTGGTTCTTGAGAGTTCCTGTTTGTGAAGTTAGTTACTAATAAAATCTGCACCTTGTTCAAATGATACTTTTATATCGAATGTGATTATTTCTGCAAAATAATGTTAGTTATACTGTGAGATAAAAAAATGTTCACAATCAGATCCCATTTAATGGAGTTAATTACTGACATAGATTTTGTGGATGATATCTGTCTCTTGAGTAATGACAACACACAGGCACAGATACTTTTACGGTTGGATCCGAGTGTGAGAAGGTGGGGCTTGAGTTGAATACAAAGAAAACTGAAGTAATGAATTACAACTAAAACCAGCCTTGGGGGCAGAACTAAAGAAAACTAAAACAAAAAATGAAAACACCAAAGAGAGTGATAAACCAGGTTACTGACAGGAAAATTGAGATAATAATGAAGAAAGATGCCACCATCAGAGATGTGAAGAGAAAACTGTACTCAAATGAAATGTACATTGAATTTGCAAAAACAAAGGCAGATTTACACAAAGCCCAAAACACCCATTATAATCTTTTGAAATATCAAGAAAAAAGAATCGTGTTCCTACTGTTCCGATTTATCAGTAGAAAAAACTTGTAAGTAAACTAAAGGAAAAGGAAGAAACCATCAAAACTCTTGGGCATGAAAATCTACTACTGCAAGAAACCGTTGATGAACTGCAAGTAAATCCAACTATCAGTAATAAGCAAGAACTTAAGACTTATTCATCATCAGCCCACCATAGAGTATTTGTCTGTATTGTAAATAAAGTCCCGACTGCAAGCATCCCTGTCATCATGGAGGAGTTAGGGACACAGCCAGGACATAAGTCAGAGCCTGCACCCAAAAGAAGTGCTGTGGAATTAATGGTCTGGGAACTAAGTGCAACTGCTGAACTCCAGGCTTCTGAAATGGTTCTCAGAGAAATAAAATGTCACCCTGGGTTTTGAGGCCACAACTCAGGAAGGAACCCATATAAATAGCATCCACTTTACCACCAAGAAAGAAGGTTTTTTCTGCAGCAATCAATGCACTGGCTGGTGGGACAGCAGAAGACTATGCCAGCCACATTTGCCAAACAGTTGACAGCATGGCAGAAAATTATGTTTATTTCAGTGACAGGAGTGATTACCAAGAGACAAGGCGAAGTCTCATTTATAACATCACCAACTCAATGAGAGACAGGTGTGCTGCCAACCATGTAACTCCTTGTGGGCAGTGTGTGGAACAAGTCTCTAAATGAGTTAAACTGTCATTTACAACATTTGGATTCCATAGCCACATCCTGCAGTACTGCACTGAAAGATTTTGAACAGGCCGAAGGCATTAAAGGGGTACTTTTTGGAAAAAGACTGTATGTCTGCAAATTGCATCTTGCAAATTTACATGCTATGATATAAGGATGGAAAGGGTGACCCAGGGACGTTTCTGTCTTTTTTTTTCTGGATGAAAAAAATCTTCCCAAAGGCATTCTTCCAAGATACAGGGGCAACAGATTGTACATTCTCTTACATATTGCTGGAGTTTTGACAGAACACCATGACACCTTTTCTGAACATCTGTGACCTTGAAAAGTGTATGTACTTTAGCAAAACACCAGGCAGGTGCAAATTTTAGTTTGCTGCAAATTTGCTTCAAATTTTTCGTTGTGCTTAGGGACATCCCTTGATGGACTCAGAGAGAAGCTTCTGGAGGATTTTTCCAATGATATCACAAGGATGGAGCTGCAGGTATTAGGCCTCATTAGAAAATTTCTATCTAACCCTTAGATGAAAAAGTTTTTCACCTCAGCTGATAATGAAATTAATCATGTGGATGGGATAAGGGTTGTCCAAGGTGTGTTAGGGTCCATAAAAGAAATGTAGAAAAAACCAGAAAATATTTTAACATCGGAAAGAGATTTCTTGGGTGGGGATGTCACTGAGGTCCATACCCTCATCAAGTTGAGGTCAGTGTCAGGTGATCTGCAACTTTTTAGTCAAATGATGGGCAGTTGCCTCCAGGCTACCATCAGAGTTCTTGAACGACAGTATAAAAAATTTTACAATGGACATCACAGAAAAACTTTGAGAAGAGACAGAATCTGCCAGATCTCACAATATGGATGCTGAATAGTTAAGTGGAATGTTAAGTTCTGCCAAAAAGAAGTCACCAAATGCTATACACTTTGTTTCTTGTCCTCTCCTATGTGTGCATGTAAAAACAATACGGTAGGATATTTAGATAGTACGGCAGAAGAACACCAAGATGCTGTGATAAGGAAGGCTATTCCCTATGGAAGGATGCAAAGGAATAAAAGAAAAAAAAACACAGAAGGAGCTGAGGATAGAGATGATCCAAAGACAGAAAAGAAAACAGGAAGACCAAGACCAAAAGGAGAGAAAGAGATTGGAAAATTTGCTGTCTATCTCCGTATTAGAAGCTGTAAAGTTGGAAAAATCAGAGTTGGATTACTCCAAGAAAGAAGAAATTACTGCCATACTTGAAGGAAAGGTCGTGGGCAGGAAAATTTGCCATGTGTGGTCTGATGATTGTACTCTGCAGTTGTATTATGGACTGATTCGGAAACTGTACAGTAGTAAACACAAACAAAATAAGTACAAAAATGCATATTGGGACCAGTCTGAGGAACTTGATAATGCAACTGACTATGTTGTTTCAAAGTATGAATTAGTCAATGACCTGTTGTTTGGTGAACAAGATTTTGCTAGCTATTAGAAAACTCATGTACAGTACTAACAAGGTAAGGGTCTTGAATTTCTATATCCCATAAAATTCTTTCATTTTTCTTTCAGCAGTAGAGCCAAGATGATGCTGATCTGGCATAGCTTATGGAGAATAAAGGCAAATATCTATTTTTGCTAACTGATACCTCTTTTCCAGCGGACATGTAGGAAAGCATGCGTTCACAAATAAAGATGTCATCAGTTTCCCAGTGATTGCTTATTGATCACTAATTACTTGATTGATATTGATTATCAATCTGAAAACGTATCAATTTCTGATTACTAGTAATCTGCTTGTGTTATCTCCCACTTTTCATTTTAGGTATTTTCCTACTAGGTTTCAGTATTAGGGAGAGATCCAAGCACTTTCTATTTGATTACTTGATTAATGAGTGTGTGTGTGTGTGTGTGTGTGGGGGGGGGGGGAGGGGGTTATTGCTCATTAATTTATAAATCAATTGATTTTTTCCGTCTATTTCAGAATTAGATACAGTATTCTATCCAGGATGCTTCTCCTGAAATTTTCAATGAATTACCTTGATTTTTAAAGGAACAGTGGACGTTTTTGTGTAACACTTCAACTTTCATGATTACAGTTTTTCACAACTCATAATGTTAAACCAATAGAAAAACNATTTCCGGCTATCTTCCGAACGCCTTGAAACTAGTCTCGGATGTATGACAGTAAAAAATGTCGCCTACGCACAACATATGTGATCAGGTCAAGAACCCGGATGGACGGTGCCGCATCACTAATGTATACCGCAATCAAAACAATATAGTTCCCCCAAAACACGTGGATCTAACAAATATGGCGTCATTCGACGAATGTATTGAATATGCACTATCTTGCTGCCCACTTTATAAAGATCAAGACTTCAAACTAGGTGAAAAACAATTGGAACACTGAGGATATTGTCGAGGAGTTCTGAATGTCCTGTCAGGGCGCCGCCATGTTTATTATTGTTTACATCCGGGTATCTAGAGTAGTTTGCACTACTTCCAAAATGGCGACGTCTGTCATACGGCCGAGATATGATGACGCAGGAATCAATCGACGGTGAGCCGAGTGTATTTTTGCAATACCTTTTCAATTTTTGGGCTACATTCTTGGCTTTGGTATCAAAATCCATCTTTTTTTTTTATGGTCCATCTGACTGCCTTGATTTTAGGAGGTTTTGGGGGCTTTGAATTTTTGTGTAACATACCTGAATATAAGAGACTATTCCCAAAGACTATCGTACTAACTTTGGATCGAACTGTCTCCGAGGGGATTCTCACTCAATTGCAATTAACTTGGGCAGCTTAGATGTCTGTTATGCCTGTTGAGGCTGATAGGGGTAATTAACTATCGTTTAGCAGCTGTAGTGGGCGTCCCAGACGTCTATGTCGCTTGGGCTAAAAGCAATTTAGCAAGGGACCCCATGGAGATGGACCGATCTTGTTAGATCGATTTAGGGATGGGAACCCTATAAGGTAGGTATATCACAATCCGCTAGGGGCACTACAGTAGAACCTGTCCAACCGTAGTGCTGGGGAAAGCTGTTACCAGCTTGCTCACAGGTTGCAAAAGACATTCCATTCAAAAATCTTTTTTTAGCCCTGTATAAATAAACCAATACAATCCATTTACTAACTAAGCTGGCAGTCAAAGGCTTAATTCCGGTTACCTTACCTTCCCATGTTGCTATCTTTGAGAACATCGATTTGGCAATGTTTTGAAGTTTTGGCTCGACGAAATGTTTAAAAATTCTAGGTAAGGACTGCATGCATTTTTTTTTTGTAACTTATACCCTTTAAACTTCGGGAAATTTGCAATCTAATTGAAAAAAAAATGTGAAAATTGAATGATGTGAAGTATAGTTAATTTGATGCACAATATTTATAGTACATGATCTGCACAGAAGCCATCTCAGCCATGTGCTTGTGCGGTCGCCATTTTGGTTTTGTTTCCAGGTCATTAGATTAACATATTTTGGCAGTCATCTTGGATTTGACGGCCATTTTGGAATTTTCAGACATGCCCATATATCCAAATTTGCTTAGAATTTCACTGTCAAAAAGTGTGCCAAATTTCATGCTTGTAGGTAAAAAATGCACAATTTTTCACCAAATTCCTGGACTAATAGAGCCCTAATTTGTCTTAATTGGTCACAAGCAATTTGGGCCAAAGGCCCATTCACAGGCTGTTCTGCTGCAGTTTAGTGATCACTGCTGGTCAGTCACAGGTTTTTAGCTGAAAACTGTGGACACATTTGGTGAAATATAGCAGTTAAAAAATTCAATATCTTTGTTGCTTGTAGGAATATTATAAAAATTCTAAAAGAATTCATCTGTTTCTTGTATTACCTTTCAAAAGATGTAAGTATTATAATTTTCTGATCATTTTGAAATTTTTTTCTGATATAACTATCTAAGGCGTACCCCGGCCTTAGGACACAACATCGACTTGGACTAGCGGAATTCACTTGTGCACTTTAGATATTCACTTAGTGTTTGGTCTTTTGCAGTGGCATCATTATCCATCAGAACATACCGAGAGGCACGTTGGGGCGTCTGTTTGTCTGTCCCGTGAATATCTTCAGGAGTCGTGCGGGAACAGTGTGATTCACTGGGCGCATCCATTTTTATTTTCAAAACGAGGCTTGTCGCAAATGGCCATCGTCTTGAGGTGTTCTTGTACTTTGCAAAATATTGCAAGATTTATACCACAATACACTCACGAAGTTTTAATACCTCTACGCAGCTATGCAGTTAAGGGACTTGGTAAAATTGGCGGCAAGATAGGAGTGAAAGGATCAGGTACATTAGGGATGTCATCAACATGCGCCCTAGCTAGGGTGCACGCACTTTTTTCTTATTGAGCTATTTTTATAGACTTGAAATTTGGTACACAGATAGCCACATATTTGAGTATGTGTAAACTTTTTAATTTTTTAATGTATTTCATTTGGATCAAAAGTTATTCGAGTTTTAGTGACAACATGTTTGTCATTGTTTTCAGACGCCACTTTAAAAAATGAGTCAAAAGTTTCTCCANTTTTTTTTTATGGTCCATCTGACTGCCTTGATTTTAGGAGGTTTTGGGGGCTTTGAATTTTTGTGTAACATACCTGAATATAAAAGACTATTCCCAAAGACTATCGTACTAACTTTGGATCGAACTGTCTCCGAGGGGATTCTCACTCAATTGCAATTAACTTGGGCAGCTTAGATGTCTGTTATGCCTGTTGAGGCTGATAGGGGTAATTAACTATCGTTTAGCAGCTGTAGTGGGCGTCCCAGACGTCTATGTCGCTTGGGCTAAAAGCAATTTAGCAAGGGACCCCATGGAGATGGACCGATCTTGTTAGATCGATTTAGGGATGGGAACCCTATAAGGTAGGTATATCACAATCCGCTAGGGGCACTACAGTAGAACCTGTCCAACCGTAGTGCTGGGGAAAGCTGTTACCAGCTTGCTCACAGGTTGCAAAAGACATTCCATTCAAAAACTTTTTTTAGCGCTGTAAATAAACCAATACAATCCATTTACTAACTAAGCTGGCAGTCAAAGGCTAAATTCCGGTTACTTTACCTTCCCATGTTGCTATCTTTGAGAACATCGATTTGCCAATGTTTTGAAGTTTTGCCTCGACGAAATGTTTAAAAATTCTAGGTAAGGACTGCATGCATTTTTTTTTGTAACTTATACCCTTTAAACTTTGGGAAATTTGCAATCTAATGGAAAAAGCGTGAAAATTGAATGATGTGAAGTATAGTTAATTTGATGCGCAATATTTATAGTACATGATCTGCAAGGAAGCCATCCCAGCCATGTGCTTGTGCGGTCCCCATTTTGGTTTTGTTTCCGGGTCATTAGATTTACATATTTTGGCAGTCATCTTGGGTTTGATGGCCATTTTGGAATTTTCAGACATGCCCATATATCCAAATTTGCTTAGAATTTCATTGTCCATAAGTGTGCCAAATTTCATGCTTGTAGGTAAAAAATGCACAATTTTTCACCAAATTCCTGGACTGATAGAGCCCTAATTTGTCTTAATTGGTCACAAGCAATTTGGGCCAAAGGCCCATTCACAGGCTGTTCTGCTGCAGTTTAGTGATCACTGCTGGTCAGTCACAGGTTTTTAGCTGAAAACTGTGGACACATTTGGTGAAATATAGCAGTTAAAAAATTCAATATCGATGTTGCTTGTAGGAATATTATAAAAATTCTAAAAGAATTCATATGTTTTTGTATTACCTTTCAAAAGATATAAGTATTATAATTTTCTGATCATTTTGAAATTTTTTACTGATATACTGTACATGTACCTATCTAAGGCGTACCCCGGCCTTAGGACACATCGACTTGGACTAGCGGAATTCACTTGTGCACTTTAGATATTCACTTAGTGTTTGGTCTTTTGCAGTGGCATCATTATCCATCAGAACATACCGAGAGGCACGTTGGGGCGTCTGTTTGTCAGTCCCGTTCAGGAGTCGTGCGGGAACAGTGTGATTCACTGGGCGCATCCATTTTTATTTTCAAAACGAGGCTTGTCGCAAATGGCCGTCGTCTTGAGGTGTTCTTGTACTTTGCAAAATATTGCAAGATTTATACCACAATACACTCACGAAGTTTTAATACCTATACGCAGCTATGCAGTTAAGGGACTTGGTAAAATTGGCGGCAAGATAGGAGTTAAAGGATCAGGTACATTGGGGATATCATCAACATGCGCCCTAGCTAGGGTGCACGCACTTTTTTCTTATTGAGCTATTTTTATAGACTTGAAATTTGGTACACAGATAGCCACATATTTGAGTATGTGTAAACTATTTAATTTTTTAATGTATTTCATTTGGATCAAAAGTTATTCGAGTTTTAGTGACACCATGTTTGTCATTGTTTTCAAACGCCACTTTAAAAAATGAGTCAAAAGTTTCGGTACTTTTGCTAATGTCATAAAAAAGTGCACTTTACCACAGTAAAAGTAAAGGAGCTACGCATGGACACCCAATTTAAATTTTGATTATAAGACTTTCCCAAGCAGAGTAATCTTTGTGAAGTAGGCAAAGTAATAGAATTTTGGTCCACAGGTGCAAAAAATAGGGGAAATACAAATTGATGCCATATGTTTTTTTCAGTTTAGGGGTGCCCTTTTAACATTTGCTTCATGGGGAACAAGAAGAGGATGGACAACCCCCCCCCCCCCCGC